CAATACGAGTTCGCGGACGCGCTCTCAATGAGACCCGACTCGACATTCATTCAACAGATGTTCGCTTTGGTGGACAAAGACAACAACGGATACATCTCTTTCCGTGAGTTCTTGGATATGATTGTAATCTTCGCGAAAGGAACCGCTGACCAGAAGGCAAAACTCATGTTCGATATGTATGACATGAACAGCACCGGGAAGTTGACGGTCGACGAGTTCAAGACAATGATCCGATCGATGCTAGAGTTGGCCAATCAGAGCATTTCCGCCCAACAGATGGACGAAGTGATCGGATCAATGTTTAGGAGCGCCGGACTTAGAAGTCGTCAGGAATTGACATTCAATGACTTCCAGAAACTGTTGGGCGACTATAAGGAAGAGCTCGGATACGCGGAACTCAACTTCGATGGTATTTATCGGTATTGTCTGTAATTTCGATACAATCTTAAACAATATATTCGACATACAGTGAGTGGCATTCAAGAGATCGCTTCTCCCGGAGGCAACAAAAGACAAAGCGCTTACCTGAAGGCGAACCAAACGCTGATCCGGGCCTACAGTTACTTCGGCGGCACGACAGCGATGCCAAACGATCCGACACAGCAGACCATTAAACCGATCGCTAAGACATCGCCCTCTTTGCTAAGAGTGGAGACCCACGAAGCGAAGAGAGGGCCCGAATGGCTCACTGTATGGAAACGATCGGTCGACGAACACAAATTGGAAATATTTTGGATCACAATCTATACGGCAATCATTACTTACATTTTCATCGAAAAAGCCCACAGTTTGTCATTATTATTGGATCTGTTGTTTAATTTTTATTAATTGTTTTAATTATTTTCCCAAAGCGTATACATATCTGCGAGAAGACGGAGGGCTGAGACAAATCGCTGGTCTGGGCGTGACTTTGACTCGAGGGGCGGCCAGTGTTATGATGTTTTGCTACTCCACTATACTGTTGACAATGTGTCGAAATATCATCACATTCTTGAGGGAGACGTTTCTGCACCGATTTGTTCCCTTCGACGGCGCCGTCAGTCTTCATAAGTACATCGCCTTCTGGGCTCTCGTCATGTCATGTAATCTCGAAATACGCGTTCATTGACTGATATTTACTGTAATTGTGATCCATATCTACTCTAGTAATGCATTCAATTGGTCACGCGATTAACTTTTACCACGTGTCCACTCAAACGGCCGACGACAATAAGTGCCTCTTCAGAGAGTTTTACCGCTCGTGAGTGACTGTCTGTCATTGTATTTAGTAATTGTCGGCAATTTATACGCAAAGAATCGCCATTTATTAATAGATCCGATGAAATACCAAACTTTCTGTACTGGTGTTGGGGAACCATAACTGGGATTACGGGTGTATTCCTCTTGTGTCTGGTATTCCTGATGTATATCTTCGCCATTCAGTACTCGAGGCGTAATATATTCAACGCGTTTTGGGCCACACATAATCTGTATCCCGTTTTATACATATTAATGGTTTTGCACGGTTTGGGCCGTTTAGTACAGCCGCCCATCTTTTATAACTACTTTACTATTCCTATCGTAAGCGCAAAATTTGTGGTCAAATGTTAGCGAAATATAAACCTGTCTTAACTTATTGAACACAAAACACAGATTTTGTTTACAATCGACCGATTAATTAGCGTTAGCCGAAAGAAAGTGGAGATATCAGTGGTGAGGGCTGTCTTACACCCGTCCGATGTGACACATCTCGAGTTCAAACGACCGCCAGGTTTTGAATACAAGAGCGGCCAATGGGTCCGTATAGCGTGTCTGGCGCTCAGTAGCAGTGAATACCATCCGTTCACTCTGGCCTCAGCCCCACACGAGGACAACCTCTCGCTGTTTATCCGAGCCGTCGGTCCCTTCACGAAGAATATACGCCAAACCTATGACCCAAACAACTTGGGTTCGCGCGCTTACCCTAAACTATATCTGGACGGCCCGTACGGTGAGGGACATCAGGATTGGCTCAAGTTTGAGGTATCGGTTCTCGTCGGCGGAGGCATTGGTGTCACGCCTTTCGCATCCATTCTCAAAGACATTGCCTTTAATTCTGGACTCAATAAGAATATCGTTTGCAAAAAAGTAACAAATTTATAGCAATTTTTGAGATTGAGTTCAAATTGATTGTACGATTGCTTTTGCAAACAAATCTTAAGGTATACTTTCTATGGGTTACGCGAACTCAGAAGCACTTCGAGTGGTTATCGGATGTGATCAGAGATACCGAAGAGAAAGATATGTCCAATTTATTGACAACACATATATTCATCACACAGTTCTACGAGAAGTTTGACTTAAGGACAACAATGTTGGTATGGATTAGAAAATTATGATTATTTTTTTAGAGATAAATTATGACATAAAAAAGCAAACAAACAAATATTATATACATTTTTTGCAACACAAAAGTGAAACAAAAATTTGTGCACTTTCTTCGCACACCATTTACTTCCTAAACTCAATAACTGGTTATTATTCAGTTTATGTTGACTTCAATTAATTTTATGGATTGAATTGGGATTTCTCTTTCATACATAGTATATATGCGAACGACATTTTCAGCGGATATCCAACAGATCTCTGTTCACTGGCCTGAAAGCCAAGACTCACTTCGGAAGACCTAATTTCACTGTATTTCTCGACTCTTTACAACAGGAACACCCAAATGTATCGTTCAATTCACTCCATATATACCATGCATTACTAAATTAACCACGTTTTCAATGTGGGGGCACAGGTGACCCGAGTGGGTGTGTTTAGCTGTGGTCCGGGGCCGATGACCGGTAACGTACAGCAGGCCTGCGAAACGCTGAACCGGAGGGAGGGCGCCATCTTCTCCCATCATTTCGAGAATTTTTAACTCGATGTTTAATTTAATTAATTTGTTATAACAAAATCATTGATTATTTAATTGTCATATCGTTTATGTTATGTAAAGTACTTTTCGGTTATTTTCTCACATAAAGTAATTTCACGACTCTTTTTAATGACGTGAAAACACTACAAAACACTACAAGTATTTTCATTGAATGTTTTTTAAATGTAATATTTATTTAGCTCTTATGGGGTATGACTTAAACATAAAGAAATAAAATACGAGTAAACATCAAAATGTATGAAATTAAGGCCTCAAATGACGCTAATTTTGTAATTTATATTACAATCAAATAAAAAAACCCGTAAATCACAGGCATTTACTTTTTTCTTTTTAAAAATTTTAAATCAAATGCAAATAAAATCATAAAACAATAAAATAGTCATAAACTAGAGACCAAATGAGAGAATAAAACAATTGTTATAATAATAAAATTGAAAGAGAAGTGAGTATTTGATGCGAAAATATTTGATGCAATAATCATTGATAACAACGAAAAGACATTACATTAAAAACACATTAAAAGACATTAAGACAAAACCGAAAGACAAATCTCACGATTGTTTGGCCGCTAATTGTTTCCTATTATAGGACTTGAAGTAAAACTTGATAAACATATAGAAGAATAGTATTGTCTGGGAATAGGCGGTCCAGAAGGCGAACGCGGGGTAAGTGCCCTGGTGGAACAGCTTGACCATGGTGCCGTACAGGCCGAATATGGTGAACTGGATGAGCTGGAGTTGGGTGATGTACTTCTTCCACCAGAGATAGGGATGGAGTTGAGGGCCGAAAGCCGAGAGCGCGTAATACGAGTACATAATGACGTGAACAAAGCTGTTGAGGAAGGCGAAGAGTGTGATCGATGGCACGTTGAATCGGTACCAGAAGGTCATCCAACCGAGAATGGGAACCGCCGTGTGATGGTATAAGTGAAGTGTCGTGATCTGCGAGTACTTCTTGCGCAACACGAAGAACACGGTGTCCAACAGATCCACAAACTTCGTGATGTAGTAGAGATAGAAGGACCAGATCTGGTGCTGAGTGAGCGGCGAGTAGTCGTCTTTGGCCGGGAAACGGAAGTCGAGTAGAGCTCTGCCGTATTTGATCCATGAGAGCGATTGGACGAAGAAGTAAGCGTTGGCGGCGACCATCAGCGCGTTGTACACCAATAGCAGCGCTCGTAACTCAAATGGCGGCCGATTTTTCATGAAATTGGGCCCAATTTTGCGGACAAACACATAGTAACTGATCATAATTGTCAGCATAAGCCACGGGCCGTCCCGTATCAGCGGATAGTCGGCCGTCCGCTGGTCTCCCACTTCACGCCAATAGTTAAACAGATAGTAATTGAGTCCATAATTGGTGGCCATCTGTGCCGTGGATGTCGTGTTCGCTGTCATCGCGTGTTTGCTCTTTAAATGTGCGAAACAAACACTTAATGATAACCACTAATGAAGAGTAGAGACCAACAAAATCACACAAAAAGTTTTCAACAGTTTCTCAAAAAGCACTTCAATTTTCAATATCTCTATTGAAGAGTATTTTATTAATACAAGAGTTGGAGAGAGAAATGCATTGAAATACACGTTATATTATAGACTTGTGTCCGGGTTTCTCACTCTCCTGTTTCTCAATGAGAAATGAAAAAAGTCTTATTAATAAATACTTGACTTTAAAATTATCGTAATATATAGTGAAAAATGTTATTATATTAATAAATGAATTGTTATTATCACACAGTTTTAATTTGACAGCAAAACGTGAATAAATAATATTTATTTTCTAACCTTATGTATGAAAACTGAAGGCAAATGTGATTTTTCTCTCTCCACTTACAGTGCAATGAAAAGTGTCTCGCATTGAGAGGAAGTCTATTACAGTTTAGTATTACATTCAGTGAGAGAGAGACTGAAAGTGTATTACTGGGGGAGTTGTCTCTCTTTTCTACTGGGAGAGTAGTTTTCGAAGAGAGAGAGAGAGAGAGAGAGAGAGAGAGAGA